TTTGGAGCAGAATTAGATTGGGAAAAGCTGTGGCGGGACCAGGTGTTCGGGGCCAAGATGACCGAGACAAATGGAAAGAAACTTCTTTTTTTCAGAGGCAGCGTTTGGCACCCAAAGTGCGACCATGGGAGGCTTGAACCGGTCTCGGAATTTCTGTCGTAGTCACCTGAACCATAGCTTTTTGGCGAGCGCAAGCTGCAGTTGAGTCCCGGGGTCGGCGGCAGGGGCGGCAGCCCTTAAATAGTAACAAACGGCATCGCCAACAAGGAACAAGGGCATGTCGTATCCCATCTGGACCGTAGTCGTCACCAACTTCCCCAGGTACCACGCAGGGCCGTAGTCGTCGACAGCACTCGCTTCCTGCGACCCAAAGCAGGCAGCATCCCGTCGAAGAGTGGCGAAGCAAGTCCTTGAAGTGTGAGTGAACTGCACAGCACAGAACTGCACTACCTTCATCTACCCTCAAAAAGGCAAGAATCCCAGTGCATGGGTGGGCATGACAAAATATGTGCTTGGCATGAGATGTTGTACGTGTCAATCACTGTCTCAGAGTCTAGCCTCGCCCATATCCATGCAGTACGAGCAATGGCGGCTCGTCAGTCTCGCCCTCGCAACGCTCCCAATAGCCTGACGTCGACCCAAAGCGTCTAGCGAGGCCGACCGAGACCATTCACGGTGAACTTATGGAAGACCGTCTCGCACAAATCCTACCAACGTATGAGACGAGAAACAAATATGGGCATTCAACAGACTTGAGGGAGAAAACATAGCGAATAAATACTAGAGAGCGAGCCATGTTCAGTGTAGTGTCACAACACTAAGGAAGAGAATGATCAGAATGCAGAGTCTTGGTGTAGCTCAACCAGTGGCATTTGTATGTTTGTCGTTTTTGACTTGCGGGACGATTGGGCATCTATTCTCGTCAATAGAATGGCGCGAATTGCAACCCCTATCTTTCAAGTGTTGTGTTCAGAAGAAATTCTCCAAAGGAGAAGCACCTTAATCACCCTGCCAGCACCAATAGCGTCAGCACCGAAGAGCAGTGGTTTAGTACCATGAGTGAGTGGTCTTTCGACTGGCGCTGCCAAGCCGGTTCTGACACCAAGTGACTGAGCTCAGGGATGGTTGGATCCCGGGTCTCTCGAAAGCCCTGCTGCTTCAAGCGGCGGCGCGCCAAGAAGCGCTGTGCCTCCCCGAAACGCGGCACCAGGACGGGTCAAACGGCCTGTGCACCTTCAGTTGTTGATGGCAAAAATGACACCCTCGCAGACGCCCGTGACACACTTCGCAGTATGTCCAAGTCTGGAGCAGAATAGTCTTCGGGAGATTCATGTGACTCTTACTTTCCAGAGTCTTTGGGAGGAACTACACTTCAGTTTCAGCCAATAATTATTGGTCCGTCCAAGAATTCTCATCAGTCGCAACAAGGGCTAGTGAAATCCAACACGTGAAGCCTGCTGCCTAGCCTGTGTACACTCAGTGCTGTGGAGGGAAATCCTGCAAACAAGTATTCCTCCCACACTGCCGCACTCCGACTATCCAAAGTCTCGGGAAACATGAGCATGTTCACCGTACACGGCTGGCACCTCCATAAATGATCGCAACAGCAATGGCTTGTACCAAGCCTCGACCTGAGCCAAACGAAAAACACCCGTCAGACTTGGCAAACCCCAAACAATCTCTTCGTGCCGTCTTTAAGAAATGAAGAATTCTTTATTCTACGCATGAAGCTAGTAGTAACAAGTGCCACGCTAGTAGTAACAGGTGCCTTACTTGTAGTAACAAGAAGCTGTAGACGGAGTGACCCCTTCACCCCTCCGGACGTGTACCAAGAGACGGCTCCTTGGCCATAGACGAAGAAGGAGGTGCTGCCTGAGTCACCGTGGAGAGTGGAGGTGGACGGACCGATGGAGCCATGAGCCTTGAAACTGTTCTGAGATGTTCTGAGGGTTTCTAAAGTCTAAAGCAAAAAAGTCTGAGATGTTCGGGTTGATCTACACCACTGTTTTGCTTGGACAAGAAATTTGTTGAACACCGCTGCCGAAGAAGCGGGTCTCACGAAGTGTACTCGAACGCACTTGTCCTCCACATCTCTCCTAACGATAACAAATGCTCCCCTCCATGTTTATGTTTCAACTGACGCTATTAGGCGGAGGCCATCGCTACTAGGTAGGAGGCCATCGCTATCCCCTCTATGTCCCCTACCTCTTCTGGTTGGCGAGAAATGCCCCAGCGTGGCTTCCAAGGCGGTGAGCTGGCGCATTGAATGTGACAAGGAAAAGACCAAAGAGATTGAAGTGCTCAGCATGATTCAATTTCAATTCCTGTCTCAGATACTAGTAGCTTCTTGTTACTAGTAGCGATGGCCTCCAACCTACTTGCGATGGCCTCCACCTAATAGCGTCCTTGCCACATTTCAAGATGGGTTTCACAGTGCAGCTCATAAAGGGGAGATCCTCATGGGAAAGACTTCAGAGGCATTAACTTGGGCACTATGTCACTATCTAAAGGGCATGGTACTGTTGGTGGGCAAAATCCTTCTGTACACACTCCGTCAACGCATGTTGCTGTCTGAAACAAAGTGAGTCCCCGCCGCCCTTCAAGGACCACAAACTGTTCTAGACAACCTTCCAATGTTTGCACGAATCAAACTATCAGTGCAACAAGGGCAACAAGAGCAGGAGAAGCAGTCGTATTCACATGAGTGACAAGCCCCACCGCATCATCAGAGGCTGCACCCAGGTGGCTTTGCAACCACGTGTGTACTGCCTTAGCTGGGCAGTCACTGATTTGATGTGTTGGAAATGGGGATACATCCTTCATGAGTCTGTTACCTGCTACTATCACCTGCTACTGCCATCACATCAAAACCTCCTTTTGGCAGCCCCCCCCAAATGTCGGCCATGAAGTCTCCTTCACCAACACCTCCTTTTGCCAGTCTCGGCACCTCTCTTGGAAGGGCTTCGGGAGGTGCACCGAAGAAGGCATGACGGGCAAAGCGTGCACAAGCCAAGGGGTCAGAGCCTCATGGGCTCGGTCGCTGTCCATTTCTACTAGTAAGGCACCTTGCTACTAGTCGCTTCGAGCTACTGTACTAGTAGTGCCCTTGTTACTAGTAGCTTCTTACGGTGCATTAAGAAATCTCACTTTCAATTGAAGACATAATGTGGCACCTTGTCCCTGGCAACGTGCAAGATTCATGAAGTTTTGCCCATACTCCTGGTAAAGGGTTGGCATATAGGAGGAAGCATGCTGTGCGAGGCATTGAAGGCACGGCAAACTCACAAGTAAGCAATGACTTGTTCATGTCATGTCTCAAAATACCGTGTGTGTGTATATATATATACATACTGGTATATATATATATACATACTGGTGTATATATATATATATTGTTTCTCAATGTTCTATTTTCCGGGTCATTTCATAGTACTGTAGATCAAAAAGATCTTTCTTCGGGCCGACCAATCTCATTCTCATTCTGCCACCAACTCTGTTTCGGACTGCATTCAGCACTGATTGCATTAGCTGCAGTCTTCCATGAATTCTGCCATTACTCATACAGTCGTTTTCACAAACATTGGATAGCCGCAAAGCGCGCATGGTGCAGGATTGGTAGAATGGTGCACACAAACACACCTGACAAATCACAGAAGCTGTTCCTTCAGGAAGCTCAAGCTCGGTGCAGGCTTCAACCAAGCAATGAAAGCTGAAAGCTATGGGAAAAAGCATTATCTGATCATGCAGTCTGATCCTCATCCACTGGTGGCAACTCTGGAGGGGGGCGCTTTCTTGGCACGGCCTCAGCCAGGGGAAGCAAGGTCTTAAACGAATACGGTCAAACAGTGGCCCAAATCTGTCACTCCATTCAGATCCAGCTGCGTGACTTAAGGACCTTCAGATCTGCAATCTAAGACTGCCAGAAATTGTGGGGCATCTCAGGGCTGTAGTTGCGATAGCATGTATGTAAACCTGTGTAGACCGTAGACAAGCCAGAAACGCACAAAACAATGAATCACTAGTCTCTCGGTCTCTGATATGTCCAAGATGCGTTTGACGTACCAATGATGAGCAAAGCCTGACAAAGGCCGTTGGCTCGCCGTGCCAAGGTTCGTTGACAAAACGAGGTGCCTGATGACCCTGTAAAAGCTGCTGCTTCTGACTATCAATGCCAAAGGCTGTATTGAAGGCGCTCAAAGACACACTCCCTTGCTCGTTGCCCTGACAGGCCAAGCCCAAACGGCGCTCCAAAACATAGTATACATGAATGTAGATCAATTGCGGGTCTAAGAAGTAGATTGCCGTGTGACCTTCTTCACATGTTTAGACAGTTGGACTCTTGCTTCTGTGAAGACACTTTGTGTGATCTTGAATAACCTATCCAACGATTCCTAAGTCTTGACATTCTTTGCTGCTTCTGCGCCCTCACCTGTTCCTTCTGCCACAAAGTATGCACCCAGCACACGGCGTGGCAGGACATTCATGGCGACTCACACGGAAGTGTGTGGCACAGCACAACACACTTTTTGGTCGGCAGCCTTTGAACATTTGTAGATTGTTCTGCAGTGATTGGCTTGCGATGAGGGTGAAATACCTTGGTCTATTGGAGCGACAATGTCTGTGGAGGCCGATTTCAGTACGGAGTGTTGCAGTACATTGAGAGTACGGCTGGGCCTAAATTCTCATGAATTCCCATTCCATGTTCTGAGAAGCTTGAGAAGAAAGGGTGGTTCGAGCGCAAGTGGACATATCGAGATGCCTTTCCGCGTCTGCTTCCAAAAGCGCAATAACTTCCCCCTTTGCTTCCAAATAAATCACGAGTTTCTTCTGGTTCCGTCTCAAGTGCTGGTTCCTGGATAGAACATGATAGAACCAAATTCGCTTGAGTAGTGCTGATGCTCAAAATGGTATACAACTAGCTCATGCAGTGATGCAGGGGACCTCATGTCATGGGCTCATGGGGAACATATCTGCACTGCGGCACCAATTCATCTCCTCACCTTGCTGTTAAGGTACTGCAATGCAAACACTCACCCTGGCGCACAGAATGAGACGAGCACGACAGGCGGACATGGTGCCCTTGCACCCCTAAGAATGTATGTAATTGTATGTATATAATTTGAGAAATGGTTGTACAATTATTGACATATATATATATATATATATATGATGTTGTCTAGTTATATAATGTTAAGTCATAATATATATGTTGTATATATTTATATATACATTGTGTCTCCTTGTGGCTCTCTCACTTACTACTCCGCACATGGGCGAGTCGGTCGTCACTCCGGACATAGTCCCGTCGCCTTGTCCCGAAGGAAGCGAATCGCAGAGTCTCTGAAGGTGACTGTATCACAAGCCTCTACTCGGGCGAACGAGGAGAGGCGCTTCGCTTCGGGGCGCTTCGCTTGGCTGTTGGGGGGCGGAGGAGAGGCGACGGGAGAGGCGGGGGGCTTCGGGCCACATCTGGTCTGATGAATGAATCTAAGGCTCCTCGGACCGTCAGACCATCTCTCCATCTAGTCGGGTGCACTGCCTCCGTGCAGGCAAACAAAGGTCCAGACATGCGCTTGGTGCCTGGACCAAATCAGAATGCAACTCGAACAGGCTGTGGCAAAATAGAAAACCACTTAAGATATTCAAGTGCAGTTCAACAAATGCACGCCTACAAACCATCCATCTACGTCCGGATTGTCCATCCATTCATCGAGGAACTTCTGCGGGACCTGGGGCTGAAATCGAGGAAACAGTTGCTGGTCGCATGCAGGCTAGCGGCTATCATCAACAACTGAAACAGTTGCAGGCTATGCACGACATAAAGGAAACAGCTGATCCCTGGGCACATTTTGCCTTGAACCATTTGCCCAGGGATCTACCTGCGCAATGCTACAAGCACCAAGGCAATGGCGCCGCTGGATAGGAGTAAGCGCCCCAAGGCATCCTCCTCTAGGGAGCTGTTGGCCCACCTCAAAAAGGCAAGTTCACAGAAACAGGCCTCCTTGGCTCCTCGTCCCTTTCAACAGCATTCAACAACCCTGAGATTGTGTCCAAGAACTCAGGTTCTCCGAAAAATACCAGTGCTATCCAGTGCTCTTCAAATTGTTGAAGACACCCCAAGAAGGTCAAGCATCACTCAGAAATCATGCAAAGGTCAATCGGCCACTATGCTTGGACCCAGACAGGATGCGTTCTCTCATGCCCTCCAAAGCACCAGCAGAGAAGTGCACGCCATTACTGGGCAGGAGCCGAAAGAGTTGTCAACTCACTGGTCAAATGGAGCCAGACTTGCAGAATCTGTCCGCGTCTCCGAATCCAAGAAAGGGCGCAGCTTGGTAGCGGATTGACATGCACCAATCTTGTACCGTGCGTGCTCCAACCAACAAACAGCGACTCCAAACTACCAATCCAGGCTTTACTCTGCTTGCAATGGTTCACTGTACAAACCGTCAAAACACGGCAGGGACATTGCGCAGGGAAAGTTCCCGCTAAACAGCGATTCCAATACACCAAAACAAGAGTAGCTCTTATGTGGAATGATGCTGCTCGCCAATTTATAGAATCGCAATTGAGCCTGTTTTCAAGCTCTAGAGTGTCGTGGTGCACAGACTAGATTGTGACTCGAAAATTAAAACAAATCATTCTGTGAGGAAAGCCAGAAAAAGATTCGGGACAACGCCAGCACCAAGGTCCATTGTGCAGCGCGGGTTGATGCTCCGGTGTTGCCGATGGAACACAGAGCGACATCTGTGCAAGTGCTACCGGCAGAACAGTCATAGCCAGGATCACTCACAGCCCCCGTCTCAAATCCCAAATGGATGTTGCCTTCCATGTCTTTTGGGAGGATGGATAGTGCTTGAGCAAAACCAACAAGCAGTTTTGGTGTGGTTTACCGTTTACTATCAAAAGCCTCCCTCCTCACGGTTGCCTTGGGAGTTTCAGAAAGAAAGCAGGCTGCTAGGAATCACGGGGGTACTCTCCCAAGGAGCACGCATGGGTCTGCGGTAACATAGCTGTATTGGGTGGTGAAGAGTTGTTTGCACAGCCTAGCTAGATGAGGTTCCAAAGCAAAGCCAAGGTACCGTTCGTGTTCAGAACTCCTTTACAGAGTCCGCCAGCATCTTCAGCCTGGCATAGAAAGTAAGTCCCAGCAGTGCCAGCAGCTGGAGGATCCACTCCACATGCTGCAGAACTTCGGAATCCTCCGAGAAAAAGGACTGGACGATGCGAACGAGGCAAGAAAAAATCGAAGAGTTCAACAACGTCACAACCCCCATACTGTAATCAACATGAATCAACTCAAGAACCTTTCATCACTCCGAGTCTCCTCCAATCAAAGCTTCCGTGCAGTTTGCAGAGCCCTTCAGGATGGTAAGATTTCGAACTAAGACCTTCGTTGGCCAAAATCAAAGTGAACCTGTGAGTCTTTCAACAAGAGAGAGGGTAAGGTGGAAGGACAGCTGAACGAAAGCAAACGAAAACCAGCCAGCCGAGCCAAAACCAAGCCAAGCCGAAAGCAAGCCAGTTGAGCCAAACCAAACAAGCAAGCCAAAGTCAAGCCAAATCAAACTGAAAACAGGTCAATTCTTGAGCCAAATGAAGCCAGTACGAGGTGAATATGATGCGGTAAAGGGCACAAGACCAACTTCTGAGTTGACTTGGTATTTCACATCTGTCTGTCTGTCTGTCTGCCTGTCTGCCTGCGTGCCTGGCTGGCTGTCCGTCTGTCTGTCTGCCTGTCTGTGTCTGTGTCTGTGTCTGCGTCTGCGTCTGTGTCTCTCTCTCTCTCTCTCTCTCTTCCGGACAGAAAAATAGATAGGTAATTATCAGACATCACCCATATGTTGGCAAGGAGAATGGATGCAAAGGGGTACAAAGTCTCCAAGATTTAAGGTCGGTAGAGCCGCACATCCCAAAACAAAGACCGAAAGCTGAAACCCGAATCCTGAAACTGGCTTCTCAAGACCAAACAAAACAAAAGAAAACGTAAAAAATAAATAAAGCTAAATGGGAATGATCTCTAGATCACCACTCGATAAGTTTGCTGATATCATGATATCATATAGAGGATACCAAACAAAAAAACAAAAAGTAAACACATGCTTGAATCCATGTTGAATCACGAAAGATAAGGGTTCGTCATCGCCGCAAGCGGACTGATTGAAAATCTCCTCCAAATACAAAGAGGCGAAATGGATAGTGTGTCAGTATCACTGATTATGATTCTGACATGGAGGGGGGCCGAAGGAGGCATGAGGGGAATTGATTTTGCTTTCAAGAGGGGCCCCAGAAATGCGTGAAGTGATGGAATGCCACTTCCTGACATGACAGTAGCAGGATACCTGCAAACTGTACCACACTATTGGTGTAGAGGCCTCAAAGACCTGTGAAAATGAGCAATGTCATGACAGGCTTGGTTTCAGGGGAATCCTGGTTGTTGGCCTCCAGATGGCAATTGCTTTCCGAAATGGCTTGCGGCTTGCATTTGGTTTGCCAGAGTTGACTTGAGTAGGCTTCGCTTGCTACCATGCGTGCTCCACTTCAACAAAGACTTTCGTAGCTTGTTGTGTGGCTTGTTTGGGATTTACTGTATTTGGCAGTTAACAGCAGGCAGTGTGCCGATTTTGCTGATCCCTTCACAATCTAAAGCCCAAAACAGTGCTGTGTTGAAGCGCGCCTGACTAATCTTGGAACTAAACCACGTACAATTGATTACACTTGGGACCAAGGCAGTCGACCTGCAAAAGCAGCAGCTCTCCTCGTCCTGTGAGTTGTAGTCGTTATATGAATAACCTGCTCCGCAAGTTCTTTGGCCGTCCGAAAATCCTTGGATCACCATCTGTGCAGCAGCCCATTGTACTTCCGCCGACGTTCTTTCCCACCCTCCGGCAGGACTGCAGCTTTCTGCTGCCATGAGTAGACTCGCCACGAGTAGACTTGCCATGGCGACACCAGCCGCAAATGGTTTGTTTCTGTTTGGTCACTTGCGCTTTGTAGTCTACAGTGCCTTTCCCTGTATGTATGTCTGGCCGGATGCTTGCGGTGCACTGAAAAACGTGCTTCGAGCCTCAAGTCCCATTGCTCCAAAAGGACAGACTATGACAGACATAATAAAGTGCTCGTGGAAAAATGTTTTGTCAGCTCAGACCAGGGGACACTCCTCTTTCTGGCAAGACCAACTTGTTCCTACAACGCTGTCTCTGGGTGCTGGGCTCCATGGTGTTGGGCTGCTGGCTAAGACCACAGTCCTCACTCACACTTGTCCAAGAAAGCCTAAACTGTACTACGCGTAGCGGCGTAACTTGAAGCAGCTACTCAAGAAGCGTCCACTTGGATCTCATTCAATGTCTTGTCCCCCTAGAAAAAGTTATGGGCCTTGGGTTTCTCACAAGGGACTATGATCAGAGTGGAGCCTGCTTCTACAGTAGTCTCATGAGGAGCCAGGTGTTTCAGCCGGAGCCTAGCCTTCCAATGGTGATAGAGCAAGCCTCGTATCGAATCCTTGCTTGCCTGGCTCCAGATGGCAAAAACGAACCGGCCTACCCAGCACTTTACAATTCGGAAAAAAAAAAAAAAACTGCTTCCAGAAGTTGCGTGACTCAACGGATGCATAGCAAAAGGAACCTAATAGCAATGGCCTCCAACCTACTAGCGATGGCCTCCAACCTACTGCCATGGCCCATACTGGCTTTGAAACATGCCTTGGAAGGATCTGTAGAACCCAAGATCTCTTCGAAGCGTTTCCAGGAGACCTAGGCTCACATGCTCGGCGGATGAAATTCATCTATATTTATATACAGTATAGATTGCAATTTGTTTAGGGAATTGACTTAAATGCTGGTGCATAGTCGGAGGTACGTTTGGAAACGCTTGGAGCAGGTTCAAGGATGTTAAAGGTCAACAATTAGAAAGGTACGCTACTAGGAGCAAGGACGCTACTAGGGATAATTTGGGCCCGGACCTCTGAAGGGTCAAATTCCACCACAAACCAACATGCCTGACACACTTTGATGGGGGAAGAGAACCCATTCGGGCACTGGAGCTAGGGTATTTGTATGTATTTGATTGGGTTCGCACGTGGTACATTTCTCTCTGAATTCGGGATTGCTGGTTGTACATTGTGATGGTGCATGGTGATGACAATCTGACAATCCTGTGAAACCGTTCACATGAACTTGCTTTCTTGCAGTGCAAGCCCCCCATGCACCCACGATGGATACCATCACGAGTGTGCCAGCTCTGCTCGGGGTGCCCGCTCTGTGAAAATTGGGAGGCAAGAGTAGATGGAAAAGGCCAACAACAAGCTACTAGGGGGTCCTGGCATCGCTACTAGGAGCAAGGAGGCTACTAGGGGCTCCTGGCCATACTACTAGGAGCAAGAAGCTACTAGTTACTAGTAACAAGAAGCTACTAGGAGGCTGCTTCTCTCGGCTCTCGCGGTTTGTGGCCACGAGCTGTGCATCCAACCTACTAGCGAGGGCCTCCAACTACCTAAGAGCAATGGCCGCGGCTCTTTGATTTCCTCCAAAACGGTTTTGTTTTGCAGATTCCATCAAGCTCTGCAAGCTCGTCCGGCTTTCAGACCTTCCGTGCTTAATATATCCTCACACCGACCATGCGAAGTGGTGGCTGTGCCGAATAAAACTGCTGTGTAATCTTTGAACCTTCAACCTGTTGGCAGGGACATACTAGTAGGCGTAGACCAAAGCGTTCAGGGCTGCCAATCCGTTGGGCTTGAACTTGAGAAGAGTTCAGTGGACAGGCATAGTAAACACAGAGCAACACGTCTGCCATGTGAATATCCAACAGCAATGCCAACAGCACGGAGCAGCGGACCAACCTCACCGGCCGAGCTGAAGGTGTCCCGCCTTAGCCGTGCTTCGCAATGGCTTGGCATGTTCGACACACCGAGAAACCGCGAACATCCAACTCATGATCCCTGAGATAGGTGTCCCCACCAATGCGGTACGAAGCCGTTCACCACATAGACAGAGCTCTGCTGAGTGACAATCTTTCCCACGTAGAGCGATGGAGCCTCGGCTTTTCGGAGCAATTCGTCATGGAGTTGCCATGGCTCCCTTGTATCTACAAAAGTTGGAAGCACAGCACTGACTTTTGAGGTGAAAGCAAAGTGTGTCCTATGATGTCTTGAACCTTGATCCTGAGCCAGCCGCAAGCTTTACGGAGGAACTTGTCTTCCAGAGTCCAGACATCTCCTGAAACAACAGGTACAGCGGAAGGCTTCTGGAACGCCAATCATCTGGTTCAACTGCAACTGCTCAACTGGTCACCAGTCCTCCGCTGAGATCCCCAATTCCTTTTGTGCATCCTCTGCACTGAGAACAGTGGAACTCGAGAGCGCTGCCCCTTGGCCAGGAGAACAGTGGCCAGCCAAATAGAATCAAAGTGCAAGTTCACAAGCATTCAAGCATTCAACGCCAGAAGATGAACCGCTGTACTTATTTCTAAGTTCATGCAAATCTGCCAGCATGCCTCGCGTATGTTGTATCCCACAGAACACAAGCATCTTAAATGTTGTTGCTTCCAAAGTCCTACACGTCAAAGTCATTAAACAAGGCACGATGCCTCAGATTGCGAGTGTAGCTCTACTTGTAGGTTTGAAGTGGCCGTGGAAAGAAAAACTGTGGGCACCCTAAGTCTGAGCATCTTAAAGCTTTGCAACGCAGAGCTCCAAGCCAAACGTCTCTTGGAACAAACCATGCGCATCTTCCTCGATAGAGATTTGGACACCCACAATGCCAAGAAGCTGTGAGCATTACTTGCATCAACGCTTTCTTACATATACACAGATCAGCAAAAGAAAGACATTGCAAGCAAAGTGAGTGACAAGCAGTTTAAAACAAGCAGTTTGCTGGGCTACTTCAAATGTGCACACCCATCAAACAGGTAAGACGCAATCAAGAAAACCTGCTCAAATTGCATGGAATTGGCACAGGCTTCATTGGATGAACAAAAACAAATTGTTTGTTGTATGCAGCCTTACCACAAATGCGTTGCAAATGCTTCCATGCATGAAACTCCCCAGCTTATAGTTTATTGATTGGACTCTTCCCTTCGATCTTTCCTTCACATCTGTGCCTGCAACTTTGCGGGAAGACCTTTCGAGTAGCGCACCAGCTGCAAGTACTGCAGCGATGAGACTTCGTGCTGGTCGACGTCTGATTCGGAAACCAAACGGTCTGATTCGGTAACTATGATTCGGTAATCAAAAGCGCTGATGCGGTAACCAAAACGTCTGATTCGGTAACCAAAACGTCTGATTCGGTAACCAAAACCGCTGATTCGGTAACCAAAACCCGCCGATTCGGTAACCAAAACTGCTGATTCGGTAACCAAAACCGCTGATTCGGTAACCAAAACCAGGAAACCAAAACCAAAAACAGAAACTGATGACCCGGGTAGTAGTAGTTGTAGTAGTAGTAGTAGTAGTCGTAGGTGGTGGTAGTGCCACCGATGCAAAATCTCTCCGCGAAGCAACAAGATAAACGGAAACGTGATTATCTTGGCCATGATTCCCCCCCACCCCCCGACCCCACACTCCTCCTGCTGTCCACCACTACTTCTTACTTGACTGAATGTAAAAGCCGTTTGCATCCACATGGAACGCCATTATCTTGGCTTAGTTTCTGAAAAGTCTAACTTGGTTTCTGAATCGACTGTTTTGGTTTCTCAGTCGGCCGTTTTGGTTTCTGAATCGGCTGTTTTGGTTTCTGAATCGGCTCTTTTGGTTGCTGAATCGGCTCTTTTGGTTTCTGAATCGTAGTTGCTGAATCGCCTGGTTTGGTTTCTGAATCGGCCGACTTGGTTTCTGAATCGGCTGTTTTGGTTTCTGAATCGGGACTCGTTTGGTTTCTGAATCGGCCCGTTTGGTTTCTGAATCGGCTCATTTGGTTCCTGAATCGGACCATTTGGTTCTGAATCGGACTGTTTTGGTTTCTGAATCGTAGTTGCTGAATCGGCCATTTTGGTTTCTGAATCGTAGTTTCTGAATCGGCTGTTTTGGTTTCTGAATCGTAGTTGCCTGATCGGTTGGTTTCTGAATCGGCTAATGACCCTTCGTGCTGGTTTCAGCTGAGAGACTGCCCGCACAAAAGATTTTCAATGGACAAGAGGTGACTTCAAACAAGTTCAACCCTTCCACTGTTGGCATGTGACATTCTTTTCTGTAACGTGAGCTTGACCAAATCAGCAAGAAGAGTGCAAGTGACAGGCTCCTGCGCATCAAACATCTTCTTGTCGGCAATCTCCTGAAGTCGGCTCAGCGCGGGGGGAGGCATGTGTACACCAGAAAGGCCATCTGTAGCATCTTATGGCATGAGATTCGGCCAAAGCAAAACCTTATATACATGGCAATGAATATGTGAGCTGCACATGGCACGAGTGCACATCGAAATCGAAAGACATAAACCCCCGCTTTTGTTCGAGGGATGGTAGAAGGATCTGGAAACCAAGGTGAAGTAGAGGTGGCACTGGGCACTTTGCACTTCAAAAACGGTTGGCTTGGTGAGGGATCTGGCCCCATAGGTTTGTCCTCACCCGACTCGTTTGGCAAGAGCAAGCATCATCGTTGCTCGAGTGAATTTTGCTTTCCACTTTGCACCCTAAATGCTCACACGCTGTTGGATCCTTTGTGCAAGAATCCGCCTTGTAAGTTTCTAAAAGGCAAATCACATGGCAAGAACGCGTGCACATACATACATTTGTACATTTGCATCCATCCAGCAAAGTTATAATGTTTGAAATAACCTGATGCAGTGCCCAAAGTAGAGAGCGTCCTTGCTGCCCACTACAGGCCATGTTAGCAGGCCATGTTAGAAAGCCATTGATTTGAGGCTATCTTTAGTGGCCGTAGGCTCAAGGTCATGACCGAAAGCCAAAGGATTTGATATAGAACTGGTCTAGAGTGCTCCATTGTAGCAAGTCATGCTTCTAGGTTCTGAAATTGCTTGAAAAATGTGCGTTGACCTGCACTCAATTAGAGGATTAACTTCTTGACCTCCACAAGATACCGTTGCAGAGCGCCACTCACGAGACGGACGATCGAATCAGGCTCTTACCAAGTGGCCCCTAGTTGCTCCCTTTCCTTTCAAGCAATTTTGTTAATCAACTTGGACCTTCATGAATTTTGAGCAGCAGCACGGGGTGGTAGCCAATGCACCATGCAAAGTATGTATGTACACGAGCAACATGTATTGGTGATACAGTAACTTCTGGCCACGCCTTCGCACTGACTATGCCCTTTTGCACCACAGAGATCTGGCCGCACCACGCGACACTCCGGGGGCAAGTTAGCCAGTCAAAAACATAGTGAATCTACAGAGAAGAATTTGATAGGCGTGTCAAAGTTGTGGCATCACATCTTCTTCCTCCTAGGGACAAAAAAGTCTGGTTTCAGCTTCAGGGTCTTCCTTAGATCGCTTGAATGACCCAGCTGGTCCTGCAATCCATTTGGGTGTATGTCTTTGCAGGTCTGCTGACTAGCATCATCAGAGTCGTCAAGCAACCGAAGCCCGTCACAGCGCAAGTCACACCACGAGGCTTCACGAGGCTTTCACTCGTTGCAGCAAGTCACGCGTCAATTGCATCACTTTCGATGCGTCCATTGCGCGTTCAACAGGTCTTCCTGCATAGGTGGAGCACTCAAAGGACCAGTCTCCTGAAAGTGTTGAGACATTGTGAAGGAGTCGGCCTAAGGCTATACAGATTTTGGATGAGTTTGCCAGTGGTCTCAAGTTTAGCCATAATCAAAACCGCCGATGTCCTGACGAGTTAGCCTCAAAAACGAAAGATCACACATCGGAAGGTCTAAAAATACGGTCCAAATCTTGCCCGTCCAAAGTCCTCAAGGTAGCGCTGCCAGCTCCGCATCAAAGTCCTTTTCACAAGCCTTGGGCACAGCTAAATATCCGTCGCTTTCAAAGAGCACCTGGGCGCCAAGGATGATCTTGGGCTGCTGGAGACCCGTCAATCTTTTCTCCACTGACCTTGTCTGTCTTAGTCGGGAGCTGGCTCCTTTAGTGTGTTGAAATGGCCACGGTATCATCACTAAAGCTTGGCACGGGGCCATGCACCCCATGAATATCCCAAGCAAACAACAACTCACATTATAGTGTATATATATAT